TTATCCTCTCTTTGTTTAGGAAAATGTATATTTCCCTGTGGTAACTTTTTTTTTTTTTAAACTTTTGGGGTCTTGCACGATTAATTTGATTTTCCCTTATTTCTTATGGGGAAATTCATTCACATAGCGAACATTTTTGCATACACCACCCCTTGCACGGATTAAGGTCGCTAAAACGGGCCACTGTAAAGGAGAGTATAAAAAGTGAACAGAGTGGTGAGAGAGTGCAAAAAGAGAGCAGATGAAAGAGTGGGAGAGGCACTGGCAAGAAATTTTGCTGAAAATAAGAAAAAAATTTGGAGTGAAATAAACAAGTTAAGAAAGCCTAGAGAATGAATGGATTTGTCAGTTAAAAACAGAGTAGGGGAGTTAGTAGATGGGGAGCTGCAGGTATTGGGTAGATGGCGAGAATATTTTGAGGAACTTTTAAATGTCAATGATGAGAGGCGGTAATTTCATGCACTGGCCAGGGAGGTATAACATCTTTTACGAGTGAAGAAGAGCAGGATGTGAGCGTGGGGGAGGTGCGTGAGGCATTACAAAGAATGAAAAGGGGTAAAGCAGCAGGAACTGATGGCATCATGACAGAAATGTTAAAAGCAGGGGGGGGGGGATATTGTGTTGGAGTGGTTGGTATTTTTGTTTAATAAATGTATGAAAGAGGGAAAGGTACCTAGGGATTGGCAGAGAGCATGTATAGCTCCTTTATCTAAAGGGAAGGGGGACAAAAGAGATTGTAAAAATTATAGGGGAATAAGTTTACTGAGTATACCAGGAAAAGTGTACGGTAGGGTTATAATTGAAAGAATTAGAGGTAAGACAGAATGCAGGATTGCGGATGAGCAAGGAGGTTTCAGAGTGGGAAGGGGATGTGTAGATCAAGTGTTTACATTGAGGCATATATGTGAACAGTATTTAGATAAAGGTAGGGTAGTTTTTATTTCATTTATGGATTTAGAAAAGACATATGATAGAGTGGATAGGGGAGCAATGTGGCAGATGTTGCAAGTATATGGAATAGGTGGTAAGTTACTAAATGCTGTAAAGAGTTTTTATGAGGATAGTGAGACTCAGGTTAGGGTGTGTAGAAGAGAGGGAGACTACTTCCCAGTAAAAGTAGGTCTTAGACAGGGATGTGTAATGTCACCATGGTTGTTTAATATAATTATAGATGGGGTTGTAAAAGAAGTAAATGCTAGGGTGTTCGGGAGAGGGGTGGGATTAAATTATGGCTAATCAAATACAAAATGGGAATTGACACAGTTGCTTTTTGCTGATGATACTGTGCTCATGGGAGATTCTAAAGAAAAATTGCAAAGGTTAGTGGATGAGTTTGGGAGTGTGTGTAAAGGTAGAAAGTTGAAAGCGAACATAGAAAAGAGTAAGGTGATGAGGGTATCAAATGGTTTAGATAAAGAAAAATTGGATACCAAATTGGGGAGGAGAGTATGGAAGAAGTGAATGTTTTCAGATACTTGGGAGTTGATGTGTCGGCAGATGGATTTATGAAGGATGAGGTTAATCATAGAATTGATGAGGGAAAAAAGGTGAGTGGTACATTGAGGTATATGTGGAGACAAAAAACGTTATCTATGGAGGCAAAGAAGGGAATTTATGAAAGTATAGTAGTGCCAACACCCTTATATGGGTGTGATGCTTGGGTTGTGAATGCAGCAGTGAGGAGGTGGTTGGAGGCAGTGGAGATGTCCTGTCTTAGGGCAATGTGCGGTGTAAATATTATGCAGAAAATTCGGCGTGTGGAAATTAGGAGAAGGTGTGGAGTTAATAAAAGTATTAGTCAGAGGGCTGAAGAGGGGTTGTTGAGGTGCTTTGGTCATTTAGAGAGAATGGATCAAAGTAGAATGACATGGAGAGCATTTAAATCTGTAGGAGAAGGAAGGCGGGGTAGGGGTCGTCCTCGAAAAGGTTGGAAGGGGTAAGGGAGGTTTTGTGGGCGAGGGGCTTGGACTTCCAGCAGGCGTGTATGAGCATGTTAGATAGGAGTGAATGGAGATGAATGGTATTTGGGACCTGACGATCTGTTGGAGTGTGAGCAGGGTAATATTTAGTGAAGGGATTCAGGGAAACTGGTTATTTTTATATAGCCGGACTTGAGTCCTGGAAATGGGAAGTACAGTGCCTGCACTCTAAAGGAGGAGTTTTGGGATATTAGCAGTTTGAAGGGATGTGTTGTGTATCTTTATACGTACATGCTTCTAAACTGTTGTGTTCTGAACACCTCTGCAAAAACAGTGATAATGTGTGAGTGAGGTGAAAGTGTTGAATGATGAAAGTATTTTCTTTTTGGGGATTTTCTTTCTTTTTTGGGTCACCCTGCCTTGGTGGGAGACAGCCGACTTGTTGAGAGAGAGAGATGTATAGTGTGGAAATTAGGAGGAGGTGCGGAGTTACTAAAAGTATTAGAGGGCTGAAGAGGGGTTGTTAAGGTGGTTTGGTCATTTAGAGAGAATGGATCAAGGTAGAATGACTTGGAGAGTGTATAAATCTGTAGGGGAAGGAAGGAGGGATAGGGGTCATCCTCGAAAAGGTTGGAGGGAAGGGATAAAGGAGGTATTGTGGGCGAGGGGACTGGACTTCCAGCAAGCATGTGTGAGCGTGTTAGATAGGAGTAAATGGAGACAAATGGTTTTTGGGACTTGACAAGCTGTTGGAATGTGAGCAGGGTAATATTTACTGAAGGGATTCAGGGAAACCGGCTATTATAGATTTAGTCGGGAAGTGCAATGCCTGCACTTTAAAGGAGGGGGGTCCAGGATATTGATAGTTTGGAGGAACTTCTAAACTGTTGCATCTGATTATGTATGAGTGTAGTGAAAGTGTTGAATGATAATGAAAGTATTTTCTTTTAGAGGATTTTCCTTCTTTTTGGGTCACCCTGTCTCAGTGGGAGACTTGTTGAAAAAAAAAAAAAAAAATTCCCACTATGACTGGGTGACCTACAGGTAAACACATCACTCATTCCAGAAGTAGACAGCCGTCACAATTCACATGATCCAACAAATCACAATACAGCTAGATCTCGATTAGTGCGAATAATGAATCCTATGAAGTTGTCTCATAATTCAAATTCACATTATTCAAATTATATTTCTGCATATGATTTGAAGCATTTGGGGGAAACAATTAGCATTGATTAACTTCACATTAAATCAAAATTTGCACTTCATAATGTAGCACTATGCTTATCTCTGGAACTTGAATCTGGCTAAATGGTAATCTTAAACTCTCTAGCAGCCTCAAAAATGAACATAAAAAATAAAATGGCATAATACCACGACTGGAACAATACACAGATAACTTGGACCATTAAATAATCATATAGTAATGGTCCAAGTCAAACCGAAACACTGTCATAAATTTCAGTCTCCTATGTGCAGGTTATTTATGTAATGAAGGTAAACTTAAGTCACATAGAGATGGGGAAGCTGTATGAAATAAACACCCACTTGCTATTCAGGAAATTTCATATGCTGGGAAACTAAGTGTTATTCCAGGATGTATATAAATGAACAGAACTCACAGACTCTCTGTTTTACTCGGAATATTGCATCACATCACCTTCATCACAAGGTAACCACTGAACCTACTGATGTTGTATCTCTAAGACTACACATTCCATGGAAGATTCCCATCCGCTGAACTTCCTCATTTGTTGCATATAACCTCAAATCTATTAATTCTTGCATTATATATATTAAAAAAAATTTCTTTCCCCTCAACCTCTTGCAATTATGATGATAAAGAGGCTTTAATACCAGTGAGTTAGGATTTATGTAGGGAACTCTACTCTTAGCATTTTTAACTCTCATTCGCCGGCTGTTAAGTTTAACCCTAAAATGGTCCAAAAGTATATACAGTGGACCCCCGCATAACGATTACCTCCGAATGCGACCAATTATGTAAGTGTATTTATGTAAGTGCGTTTGTACGTGTATGTTTGGGGGTCTGAAATGGACTAATCTACTTCACAATATTTCTTATGGGAACAAATTCGGTCAGTACTGGCACCTGAACATACTTGTGGAGTGAAAAAATATCGTTAACCGGGGGTCCACTGTATACGTTTTTTCAACATTTGAAAGTATGTAAAAAAATGTAGATCTTCTTTCTTGTTTTACATTTGAAAATGTGTAAAAAAAACTTTTATCTACATTTTTTTGTTATATTTGAAAATATGTAAAAAAAAACGTAGATCTACTTTTGGAGCATTACGGATTTGAACGTTGATCTGTTTGGACCGTTTAAGGGTTAATCATACAAAGCATTGAACTTGTGCTCATTCAGAACCCCACTACAAAAACTTGTCACTTTTAGTCAAACGATATGCAGAGTGTGAACCTTGACCCCACACATTGTGGAGACATTCATGATCTTTGGCTTAGTTTCAACATTTTATCTGCCAACTCTTAAGTCTTCCACATTAACAGACTATTTCCCCAAGACAAACTATTATCAATAGCAGTAATACTGTCCTGCCTAGTGGAACAATCAAATGGAAAGATTATTTTGCTCCCCTACCAAACACAACTTCCTCACTCATGTTATAGTATTTGGAAAATTCTCATGAATATTCCTTTGTTGGGATCTTTAACAACTGTATTCAAAATCGGTCATAAATAGTATGGCGACATCATTCATGGCAAAACATTTCCTTTAATAAATGCTTTAAACTGTATACAAGTGTCCTCTTCCATATATGGTATTCAGAATGATTAAGACTTGTCTGATAATCACTGACTAAAGTCTAATAATACACGACTGAAATCTTATAATACACGACTGAAATCTAATAATACACGACTGAAGACTAATGCGCCATGACTGAAATCTAATATGCCATGACTGAAGTTTAATATGCCATAACTGAAGTTTAATATGCCATAACTGAAGTTTAATATGCCATGACTGAAGTCTAATAACCATGACTGAAGTCTAATATGCCATGATTGAAGTCTAATATGCTATGACTGAAGTCTAACCTTTAATAATGATCCTCTTCCCAGGACAACAGGTTGAGTTATTAGTATCTCCTCATCACTAAGCTCCACATCACTGTCATCTGGATCCTTGACACGAACCAAGGCAATCCTCATCTTGATTCTGTTCACTGAAAAATAAACATAAATCTTTACAACCTGTTTATCTAGATGAAGTTACATATGTAAAATAATTAAGATTTGCTTGGATTTTTAACATGGAGGATAGCCACCCAGGATAACCTAATAAAGTCAGTGTATCATCGAGGACTGTCTGTCTTAGTTCCACTGAGGTCCTTCACTCTTGTCCCCCAAGTTGCAACCCACACCAGTCGACTAACACCCAGGTTGTGACCCACACCAGTCGACTAACACCCAGGTTGCAACCCACACCAGTCAACTAACACCCAGGTTGCGACCCACACCAGTCGACTACCACCCAGGATGCAACCCACACCAGTCAACTAACACCCAGGTACCTACTTACTGCTAGGTGAACAGGGATAGCAGGTGTGAGGAATCATGTCCAGCATTTCCACCCAACCAGGAATTAAAAAGAATAAAGAATAAAGATTTTATTTCTTTGCAAAGATTACAATGTGTAATTACACAGACACTCGGAAAGCTTCATAGCTTTAATCTTTCAATAAGAATCTTAAGAATTACCTATCAGTAGCTAGTCATACCTAAGATTTTCCAAAAAATTATATTTGCCATTCATTGTGGCACTGGACAAGCACCTAAATAGTCGGTGCCTGACCAGCCGGGCTGTGGCTCGTACATTGGATTGCGTGCAGACGGCAGTAACAGCTTGGTTGATCAGGCCCTGATCCACCAGGAAGCCTGGTCACAAACCAGGATGCGGGGGCGTTGACCCCCAGAACTCTCTCAGGTAAACTCCAGGTCCAGGCACCTTGTACCATCAAGTCCTCAATTTTATATAATTTCATCAAAGATGTATAATGCCAAAAAAATGATGAAATATATTATTCGGTTAATACAGTAGGACCACCATATCCACAGGTCATGGTTTCAGTTATCTGTGGTTTACCCTGATCAGAAAATAACTTTTGCTTAATAATGACACAAAAAGTGCAACAGTAGTGATGCTGACAGTTCTTCAAAGCATTTGTGAAGTGCTTCCCTTCATCAAAAAGTGCCAATTCTCGACTTACTGTACGTAATTTATCAATTAAATTTTATCATAGGTATGTATGTAAACGAAAAATATAGTATTTGCTACTATCCGTGGTTTCAGGTATCAACGATAGGTCTTGGAACATATTCCCTGCGGATACGGGGGGGTCCTACTATACTGAGTTCAAGCACTCAAAATTATATTATACCAATTATCCAATACTGAGTTATGCAATGTAGATGGGCAAACTTAAGAGCCAATAGGAAGGGCTTAATATTTTGACAACTCAAAAATAATCATAACCAAACCTAACATAACCCAGAATTTACCCTCCTAATATAAGTTTATGTTATGTTAGGTCTCACAGTCAGGTTATAGGTTAGGTTAGGTTAGGTTAAGGTTAGGTTAGGTTAAGATTAGGTTAAGGTTAAAATAAGGTTAGGTTAAGGTTAGGGTTAGGTTAAAGTTAGGTTAAGGTTAGGTTAAGGTTAGTTAGGTTAAGGTTAGGTTAGGTTAGGGTAAGGCTAGGTTAGGTTAGGTTAGGCTAGGTTAGGTTAGGTTAGGTTAAGGTTAAGGTTAAGGTTAAGGTTAAGGTTAGGGTTAGGGTTAGGGTTAAGGTTAGGTTAAGGCTAAATTAAGGTTAGGTTAAGGTTAGGGTTAAGTTAAAGTTAGGTTAAGGTTAGGTTAAGGTTAGGTTAGGTTAAGGTTAGGTTAAGGTTTAGGTTAGGTTAGGTTAGTTGGGTTGGGTTGGGTTGGGTTGGGTTGGGTTAAGGTTAAGGTTAAGGTTAAGGTTAAGGTTTTAGGTTTACGTTTTAGGTTAGGTTAGGTTAGGTTAGGTTAGGTTAGGTTAGGTTAAGGTTAAGGTTAAGGTTTTAGGTTTAGTTTAGGTTAGGTTAGGTTAGGTTAGGTTTAGGTTAGGTTAGGTTAGGTTTAGGTTTAGGTTAGGTTAGGTTAGGTTAGGTTAGGTTAGGTTAGGTTAAGGTTAAGGTTAAGGTTAAGGTTAAGGTTAAGGTTTTAGGTTTAGGTTTAGGTTAGGTTAGGTTAGGTTAGGTTAGGTTAGGTTAGGTTTAGGTTAGGTTAGGTTAGGTTAGGTTAGGTTAGGTTAGGTTAGGTTAGGTTAGGTTTAGGTTTAGGTTAGGTTAGGTTAGGTTAGGTTAGGTTAAGGTTAAGGTTAAGGTTAAGGTTAAGGTTAAGGTTAGGTTAGGTTACTATTTTTCCCTACTAATGGATGGGTATTCCAAATAAGCAGAAAATTTAACTGTGCACAACTCAGTTATTTGATAATTTACATAAGTTATCACTAAGCTCAGGAGCTCCTACTCTTAATAACAACTTATTGCGTTTATTGAACACAATGAACAATGTTTTGGATTACAATTATAACTTAAAGATTAATCAGAAAGTTACTTGTAAAGGATTATCAATACAATCTATATTGAAATACTCGAGTGTTGCAACATGTGCAACAATCGTGCAAGATGCGATTTTACTCGATATATCAATTAATATTTAATACGATGGGTATATAAGTGTTGTTCAGCCGCCTGTTATATCATTTTACACATCGAGACCCAAAAAATGGCAATATGTTCACAAATATCCAAAAAAAAAGTCTAAAATAGAGCATACTTGGGGAGTGTGAGTGAGTGGTGGTTGTCAGTAGTAACTCTAGCTCCTCACTTATAAGTTTATTCTGGTAAACTTACACATAAATACTGTTACATTAATTATCATATAAGACAGTATATGTGTAGATTACCTAGGATAACCCAGAAGTCATAGTGACTTATTTCCACTGGGGTTCTTGTACTCTCAGATAACATTATCTCTGGGTGACACCCTTATTACTCACAATTATTATTATTATAATAAAAAAAAAGCGCTAAACCTACAAGGGTCATACAGAGCAGGGCTAGTAAAATAATGTCATACACTGTGGCTGACGGGAATAAAGATTTTGAGATTATTACTGACACAGGAAATCATTAAAAGTGGAGATAAAGAGACCAATGGAAATATGTTATTTTGCCTAACTTTTTGGGGGGGTTATCCTAGATAATCTACATATGTTGCTATGTATGATAATTTATGCAACTATTTGTGTACGTGTACGTGAATAATGTTACGTACTGAGGGAGGATAAACATGTTTATCCAGAAGTAAAAATAGGGGGTATTTACCTGTAACATTACTGTTAATATAAAATAACCTTTATAACAGAAAATATGCAAATAATTTTAGACAGTAAGTTAATATGAACAATGGTTCTCTTCACATATGCTGCTATGTATGAAAATGAAAATATTTATTTCCTCACAAAGCTTACAATGAGCCGTTTACATATACAATATTTATTACAAAGGCCACTAGCATGCCTAGATATTACCTGGAGTTTACCTGGAGTAACTGTATTTGTGTATACCTGAGTAAACTTACTGAAGGTTCGGTTATTTCTTGTCTTGTTGGGTTTAAAGACTCAGTAATGTTCACTGGAGGATGAACAGTGAACACATTCCTCACTCTGCTACCTTCACATAATACAATAACTCTTAATGGCATTATTATTATTATAATCAAGGGGAAGCGCTAAACCCGGAGGATTATACAGCGCCTGGGGGGGGGATGTGGAAGGCATTTAGGCTTAATTCGGGGAACTGGAGCACAGATCTAATTCCCTAAATCAAGAGCCCCTCACCAACATCAAGGAACCTTCCTTGAGGGGACTCTTAATGGCAGCTCCACATAAACTCACCTATATGTACTTACCTATATGTGGTTGCAGGGGTCGAGTCACAGTTCCTGGTCCCGCCTCGTCGCTGCCTTCTGACTTTTTTGGGTTATCCTAGGTTCTTTACATATATGCTGTTATGTATGATAACCTATGTAACTGTATTTGTGTATATGTAACTGAATAAACTTACTTACACAGGTGATTTACACTATGTATGATAATTGTACCTATGTGTACCTGTGCCTAAATAAACTTACTCTATGACCAAAGTTATTGAACCCATCACCAGCTAGGATATTCTTGAATAATATGAAGAAACTCTAGTGGTAAGTTAATTTAGGTGTAGATACACATAAGTACAGTTATCATACCTAGTAACATAGGTGTAAATTATTTAGGATAACCCACAAAAAAGTTAGACAGTGACTTATTCCATTGGGGGTCATTTTAATATCTTACTTACCTGGAGTTTACCTGGAGAGAGTTTCGGGGGTCAACGCCCCCGCGGCCCGGTCTGTGACCAGGCCTCCTGGTGGATCAGCGCCTGATCAACCAGGCTGTTGCTGCTGGCTGCACGCAAACCAACGTACGAGCCACAGCCCGGCTGATCAGGAACTGACTTTAGGTGCTTGTCCAGTGCCAGCTTGAAGACTGCCAGGGGTCTGTTGGTAATCTCCCTTATGTGTGCTGGGAGGCAGTTGAACAGTCTCGGGCCCCTGACACTTATTGTATGGTCTCTTAACGTGCTAGTGACACCCGTGCTTTTCATTGGGGGGATGGTGCATCGTCTGCCAAGTCTTTTGCTTTCGTAGTGAGTGATTTTCGTGTGCAAGTTCGGTACTAGTCCCTCTAGGATTTTCCAGGTGTATATAATCATGTATCTCTCCCTCCTGCGTTCCAGGGAATACAGGTTTAGAAACCTCAAGCGCTCCCAGTAATTGAGGTGTTTTATCTCCGTTATGCGCGCCGTGAAAGTTCTCTGTACATTTTCTAGGTCGGCAATTTCACCTGCCTTGAAAGGTTTTTTGAAAGGTTCAAAAAACATTACTTATTAATTCGACGATGTAGGTGAATATTTGTTAATTTTAAGTGCAAAATAGTGTGAAATTTTAATTCCCGTTTAATCACGGTAAAAATATCAGTCTTCCTCTAATGGCTTCAGTATTTAATGACTGATTCATCTTAGGGACTAGCATAATACCCATTAGTATAGTTTGTGTCCAGGCAAATTTGTCATGGTACTAAATTATTTGTAAAACTTAGAATGGTTGGAATCATACCTGGAGGGTGTATTGGGGGTCAACGCCCCCGAGGCTCGGCCATGACCAGGTCTCTTATAACAGACTTCAAAATTTCACCCCTGGTGTTTTTCCAGCGACAAGTTTCCTATGGAGCAGTCAACTGAGAAGAACCTAATTAGGGATCGTCTCCATAACTCAAGCAAGGCCGTGAAAATTTGTACAGAATGATGCTGATGCCTCTGGGCCTTCGTCCATTTGTTACGAGAAAAAGAAAATACACGGTGATTTGTGAAGGTAAGACTATCAAAGAAATTATGCTGTGAAGGCAGTAAGCACCTCGTATTAAAGAAGCACTATCAAGGCTCCATAAGTTCCTCAATCACCAGGCAGGAAGATCCAGGCTCCAGCTTCATATAGGTTTGTAGATGAATGGTTCACAGACCCGACACGTTGATAAGTTAGACACGTGTGCCATTCCTTATTAAGGCCTTAATAAAGATACCCAAGAGTTACACACGTGTCTAATTTATCATTCATATAGGTTTGCCAGGACGGGTCCTGGTCCGGGTCTCCATGTGGTGACCTAACATCAGCCTCCATTTAGTGCCACAATCCGTGCCTTCCAAGGCACGGGCCTCACTATGGCTATATTATTATTATAATAATCAAAAAGAAGCGCTAAGCCACAAGGGCTATACAGCGCTGCAGGGTAGGGAAGGAAGCAAGGGAATTGGATGGCAGGAGGGAGGGGGGATGATCAGCAGGTTACAGAAAACAGCGGGGCAGGGGATAGTACGGGGGTAGAGGGTAGCAAGAGATACAAGTAGAAAGGGCTGAAAGTATCAAATTTGTGAAGTAAGTCAGTCGTTGTCAAAAAGTCAATAAGAGAGTCCGGATGAAAGGTGGGTCCATCAGCGAGAAGGGAAGGTAAAGAGAGAGCAGCGGGGCGAAGACGACGACAGAGGTAAATTCTGCGTGCTCGTTGATAAAGTGGGCAGTCCAACAGAATGTGGCTGACTGATAATGGAGCTTGGCAATTCTCACAGAGAGGAGCAAGACGCCTCTCCATGAGATATCCATGAGTAAGACGAGTATGGCCAATGCGAAACGGGAGAGGTAGTCTCCCAACCTCGACACTGGTGATAAGAAACGGCCAGTAACCTATACTCGGTTTTAATAGACTGAAGTTTGTTTCCGAGCATAGTAGACCAACGTTGTTGCCAACGGGTGTGAAGGTGGGAAGATATTACAGCAAAATAGTCCGTACATGGAATACCTCTGTAAGAAACTGGTAGGTCATGTACTGCTGACCGCGCAGCAGTGTCTTTCCTGTTCATTGCCCTGTAACGTCAACATGACCAGGGACCCAACAAAAACAATATCTTTATGCTTATAAAGATGCGGCGTAGCCAAAGTTGGATACGGAGGACTAAGGGTGAGGTGTATCAAATTTTGGGGATAGCCTGAAAGCACTAAGGGGGTCTGAGACAACCACAAATGATGACACAGGCATAGATGCAATACGGATAAGTTTCTGTAAGGATGGCTATAATTCAGCAGTAAAAATACTACTGAAGATAGTAAATGCCCTTGTACGACGCTGTCCGGAAACACTGCTGCGAATTCTACGCCGTCAGAAGACTAGAGCCATCTGTGTACACAGCAATGGCATGAGAATGAGAGTGAAAGTGGTCAAGAAAAAGAGAGCGGGAAGCGACCGTAGACAGTTGGGCTTTCGACAAGGGAGGGAGAAAGAACAGACTCGAACAGCTGGGACCCTCCCAGGGGGGTAGGGAAAAGTGAGATTACATGTACATAGAAAGGTGGTAGTTGAAGAGAAGACAAGAGCGAATGAAGGCGAAGAGAGAAGGGACGGAGTAAGCAGGGGCGGCGAACAAATAAAGAATGTCTATAATTCAGTGACCATTCTATAAATGGAAGGGTTGCGAAGATCATGAGAGCGTACATAGTAGCGCAGGCAATGGGCATCACAGCGATCGGATAAGGATGGAACGTTCGCTTCTGCATAGAGGCTTTCGACAGGGGAAGAGCGAAAAC